ACTCAGGTCCTCCTGAATCCAGGGCCGGTGCTCTATCCACTCTGCCACCTAGCTGCCCCACATTTACACATTTCTAAGGTATAAATGCTCACACTAAAAATTAGCAATCAGCTCTTTCCAGTTGGCACAGTCTAGCTCCAGCACACTAGTGTACCCCATTCAGGGTGTGAAGGTATTTTGAAAAGTGTCTGGGAAGAGTGGAGAAATTCTTGGGAGAATGGAGAAGTGACCTCAATTTACGGCTTAGCTTTGAGACTGATTTCCAGGGAAGAGTTGTGATTCATGTGTTCTGTATTGGAAAGCAACATTATGTGAGTGGTAAAAATGAGGGACTTGAAACAGACACTTATCTTTATAACCCATCTCACCTTGCCTGTCAGAGGGGAATAATCTTACTTTTGGAATGCTTTTGGAATTTAGCTGTCATCTATAAAAACCAGGCTTGACTCCCTTCTGGGAATATTGCCCACAGCATCAGATTTGGTTGAGGAATTAGTGAGTTTTGCTGAACTGCTTTTTATAAAATATATATTTCTTTGAAGTTAAATTAAAGAAGAAATTAAATTTTTTCTTTGTTATAAGGGACAGTTCTCAGGATAGAGGAGAAGAGAGGGATATATTTGGACATGATAATAATAAAAAGAATGGCAAATTCATTTCTAAAGTAAAATTAATATTATTATAACAAAAAAGACTAAAATCACGTATTTCTTTTTTGTTTTTATTATTGTCCTTTATGTTTTACATTATGTTTTTTTTTAATTAGGAAGCATTTGGTTTTTTCTCCCTTCCACTGACTCCCCCTTAGAAAAAACAAAAATCTTGTAACAAATATACATAGTCAAGCAAAAAAAAAAAAATCCAGGGTCCAAAAATGTATGTCTCATTCTGAGCATCCTGAGTCTATCACATCTTTGTCAAGAGGCAGGGAATTCCTTCAAATGTTTTGATGCTCTGAAATTGGAGTTAGTCACTGCTTTGATCAGAGTTCTTAAGTCTTTCAAAGTTGTTTGTTTTTATAGTATTTCCCTTTCATAAATTGTTCTAGTTCTGCTCACTTCACTCTGCATCAGTTCATACAAATCTTCCCAGCTTTTTCGCAAATCATCCTCTTCACCATTTCTTACAGAGCAATAATTCACATACTATAATTTGCTCAGCCATCCCCCCAATTGATGGGCACCCCCTTAGTTCACAGTTCTTTGCCAATACAAGTACTTTTTGCACATAGACATACTTTTCTTCTTTATTGGATCTCTTTGGGGCACAGGCCTTATATTGGTATTGGCTGGGTCAAAGGGTATGCACAGCTTAGTGACTTTGGGGGCATAAAAAGTCACACATCTTTTGCTTTTTTGGGTCAGATGAACAGATTTTAAAATAAACTCAGGAATTTTACTTTATTCACTCACCCACTCACTTATTCACTCATTCATTAACGTATTACTTAATTGATAAGTATTGTTTATTTATTTGCCACATAGGGTGTTCCTCCCTTCCCAGGGGCCTCTGCCCCTTTAAGAATTCCCCCCCCAGCTCTCCCGCTTTCCGGCTCTGCACGCACGTCCTCCATTCCAGCCCCAAGAGACTCCCCTCCCCTCCCAAGTCGAAAAGGCGGGAAGTTCGAAAGCGGAGCCCGACCCCCGAATGCGGATTCGCCAATCAGCTTTCGGACTTGGGTCACGCGCCTCCATCTCCCAGTCTGGGAAGAAGAGGCCGACCCCCTCCCACCCCACCGGGGGCCCTGAGAGCTTCCGCCCAGACTCACCCCACCCCCAAGCCCTTCCCTTGTGCTCCCCAGCTGCGCTTGCGCAGTGGACGGGGGGGGGTGTTAGAGATAAGCCTGTGGGTGTGGTCGATGCTAGGAAGAAGGGCTGGGACGACTTGAATTAGAGGGGAGACGTGGGGGCTCCCACGTGTTCATTTACATTGCTTAATTTCTCCTGTGGCTTTTTCCCCCAACTTCCAGAGAAAAAAGCAAATTCCAAAGTCAACAGGCCGGGTAGGAGCCGGGGACGGGCTCTGCCGGTTTTGCCCCAAAGCCCTTGAGCAGGTTTCCCTC